GGATTGATGAAAAAACTTCCTGTACCCCAGAGTCCCTTACTGCTGCTTCCAGGGCTCTTAAGTCCTTCTTGATACTCTTCAGACTTCTCCTGGCTGTATTGTTGGTGCGATGTGAAACAACAGCAGTGGATAACAGTCTGTAGACTGTACTGTATTATGTGTATTACCTTGGTATTTTTCCATTACCTAGATCTCCCAACCTATGTATTACTAACAATTATAATTATAATCAAACTGGTTTTAGCGCAAGAAGAAATTACCTGACAACACTAAAAATGAGAATGCTCTGTGAGCTATAAAACTTGGGAACTGCTCTTCAGGGTATGAATATTTCCATAAAAGAGCGATTACATTGATGAAAGCTGACCAGTAAAATAGCCTGAATAATTTGTGTATGTGTGGGGAAGGAAGTTCAGAGATAGCTCACTGGAACAGGAATGGACATTATTATAGGAAGCAATTACAAAATGGTCATATTTTTTTAAAGAGTTTGATGCTGAGCTACAGATTATTGCTGTTATAAAGAATGGCCTTGGAATCCAAGGCTGAGCTTTTAAAAAGTATTTGCTGTAACAAAAAAACCAACAAAAAGACTGGTGAACAAGACATAGCATAGTATGATACCCTTTCTCATTCCTAACTCTCTTAAGATTTGGTAACGTTTTAATGCCAGCATATTTCATGACTTGAGAAATAAAACCCAAATGATTTTGTCATCACTATTCCCCCCAAGAGACACATACCTCTGGCCCTTTCACTAGATACCAGCATACTTCAACTCTATTTTGCTCATGCAGTTAATAGCAAGGACTGATACACACAGGCAGCATGCCAAAGGGAGAAGCCAAAGTTGCAGAGAAAATAAAAAACAGCTTTTTAACAACATGGCTTGCATAGAAAGTGGCTTTGCACTGCGGAGAGGGGTTTGAGGATGAAATCATGCTGCCACTCATTTCTGTTAGAATCATGAGTGGGATAACTAATAAATAATGCTGAGAATTACATGTTCTTGTTAGGTTTCTGCACCACTGAGACGGATGGCAGCACCTCACATCCCCTGAGGTATTTTTTTGCTGGGTTCTGCAGATCTGGGCATGAGGGATTTTACCAGCTACAATGGCTTCACAGGGGAGAGGTCTTGTTTAGAAATCTAAGAGATGGAATTTTATTTCAGCTACATTCTTCTTAAGTGACAAAAGACTGGTGTTTGTTTGTTTGGTGGTTTGGTTTGTTTTTTGGTTTGTTTTTTTTTTTTTGCATGTAATAATGCAACAAGAACGGAATTATGCACCATGTTTTATGCCCCCAGAATATCAGAGTACCTGTTTAACTGTGGCAAAATTAAATGTACTTCCAAAACACCCAGCACAAAAATTCTGAGCACCCAGCATCTGAGTCCTGAGGCCACTCACAGACCTGGCTGTCCCTGCCTGCCCCTGGGTTCCCCTCACCTGTCCATGGCCCACGACCCCACGTCAGCCCCCCATCAGGGCTGTCACCCCTGTCCTAGCAATACCACAGCGGGCCCATGTCCTGGCCCGTCCTTGGCTCATCCCCGTCCCCAGGGAGGTGCCTGATGCCCGGGGCTGCCCCATTGCCCCCAGTACCCCACTCCCCAGCCCTCACAGCACCCTGACGTCCAGCTTGAGAAACTGGAAATGCAGAAAAGGAGGAAAACTTGCCCAAATAATGAAAGGGAAACTCAGTTATCACAGCGTGTGTTAAGCACTATAAGCAAAGAATTGCAAGGGATGTTTGATTCCCAACTGATTTATAAATTGTTTTGCCGGCATCAGCCGCAGAGACCCTTTCCAGGCAAACCTTGCCAGGCTAGGCACAAGGCCCTCCCTCAGGCACCAAGCCCAGCAGTAGTTCAGTGCCCTTCCCTGCAGCCAGGACACTGGGGCACTGGCGAAGCCTGGGCACGAGGCGCCTGCGGCTGCCGCCATGGCCCCAGCAAGCGCAGGGAGGGGAAGCCCTGCACGCTCAGCCTGCTTGCTGAGATGTTTCTTTCCAGTTAATGTGACAGTCACTGTGCAGCAACACAGTGAGACTGGGCTTCGCTGATAGCTTTTGCCTGTGTGTTTATGCCCACAGTATGTCAAGAGGATTGTTTATATAAAACCATAAAAATGGTCAGAGCATTGCCATACAGAGAGATGTGCGTTAACTGCCCATCACAATGGTTACAAGCCCTGTATAAACTCACTCTCCTACTCCTTTTCAGGACCAGGTGATGAAATGGCCATTTCCCCACCACCTACTGTGAAAAAAGGGAGGGGAGAACCTGCCTGTGCTCCAGAAAGCCCTGCCCCTGCCTGGGCATCAGTTTGTGTCCAACACCCCAGCCAAGGATTTCTGTAGACACACAGTCTTTCCAACAGATGGGATCCACAAAGAAGTGCCAGCAGCCCAGTGACAACCATCCATGAACAAAAATTAAGGTAAATCCCTGAAGCAGAGAGATTTCAGGATGAATCCCTGTTTCTCCAGACCTTTTTTCTCTCAACCCCCCAACACAGAAGCAGCTTCATAAAGACAAGGACGTTATTTTTCACTCACTAATGTGAAAGAAGAGGAAATAGCTAAGATACATTTTTAGATATTTGCTTTGTTGAAAAATAAATTTTCTTCTGTGAGGGGCTCTGTTGTGACACAAATCCTCTGGCTTAAAAATTCCTCAAAATGGCTCTGTGGAAGGAAAAATGCATGCAACCCTCCTGACCCCCAACAGACTTTTGCAAGGCTGTTCTAGAAGAGAGCCACTCCAAGAGAAGAAACACATCTGACCCACAGAGCACTTGGGGTTCCACTTTGCCAACTTTTATTTGCTTCTGAGCACTTGATGCTTCAGCTGAGGCAGGTGCCACAGGCCCAGTCTCCTCTCACTTGGTGTAATGCAGAGGACATTACCAGAAAGCCAAAAAGAGTGTCCCAAGCCCTGCATGAAGGGCTGGCAGGACAGAGCAGAAGGTACAGATCTGCTCCTCAGTGGTCTTGTGCCCTCTGGCACTGTGGGTGAGCTGCGTGACAGTCCAGCCCCATAGAGTAATTCAGAGTATTATAAAACTTGAGATGGAAAACTGCTGGCCCAGAATAGAAGGGAGAAAATACTAGAGCATGGCAAAAGTGAAAATCTCAGATGGAGCTTTCCTTTTGTCAGCAGAGTGAGAACAGCTCTCTGCTCCCCAGAAAATCCTCCAACAGGGCCATGTCCACTCTTTCATCACTAACACATAAGCTTAGGGCTATTTTGTCTTTAATGAGTGATAGGGTTACATCTTACTACATATTCACAATGCACATGCATTTGTAGTTGTGCAAACATTTTTACTTCATACCTTAGCCCTTTATCACATTATATCAATTGAGGAATATCTTTACTCTTCAGCACTGGCTTAACCAACTAAATTTTTAACCATAAGCTTTACACCAAGGCTTTATTCTGCCTTGATGGCAAAACATGCTCTTCTGACTGAAGATTTTTCATAATTACCTATGTTTAAGCTGCTACACTACAGGCCCATCCTCTGGATCCAACATCCCTTCCACAACTAAAGTGTGCAGAATTACTATATTAACCCATGTGCTGTTATAAGCAACGGTCTCTTTATATAAACATTGTCACGACATGCTAGCAAACAGAATGGAAACTGAAGCACAGTTGGGAAAGTTGAGCATTCTGCTACATCAAAAGACAAAATTTAATGGAATGGTGTCTTGCCAACGAGTTTAGACTATCTTCTTACAGGATGTTACTAGTCTATAATTAGAGCTGGTTGAAAAGAAAAAAAATATAAAAAATTCTCTCTGTTCCTTTTCAGTCATGTGTTCAAACTAGGATTTTTTTTTGATCAACATTAAGGTATCTGTACATATGAAACAACCATATGCATAATTCATACTCTGAACTTCTCCCAGTTGTAGAGACCTGATCCACATTAGAAAGTTGCAGTGATTTAACCAAAGAAGGATTTTTACATCAACTCTGTGGACAAAGTAATACACGTGGTCATTTGCATTCCTTTGATTTATCAAATAAACATATTTCAGCTAAGAGAAATAAATCACATGACATCATCTCTGGAAAATACTTGATCAAAATGGCTTTTGAAAAATCCAAATGAAATGCGTGTAATTTGCATTTGTAGATTAATTCCTTTGCATTAGAGTCCCCCTTCCCTGAAGACTTTACTGTGCATGCAGCTTACCTGGTTATCATATTGTACATTTTTAAAATTAGCAATACTTCTCTCTTTTGTAATCCATATATTTTAAAGTGCTTTAAAAAGGATAAGTAGTTATCATGTGGTTAAACATTCATAGGAAAATACAAATGAATTAGGGGACAATATTGTATCAAATGCCAATGACCCTTGGTGCTTTTTGAAATATTACTCAAGCAAAAATCAGGGATATGGAGACAAAGTAGAATTACCCATAGTAGGCTGACAGCAGGGCCAGGAATTGAAATCAAATATTCCAATTCCCAGACCAATGCATATGTTTACCAGATCCATTTCCACCCCATCATGGTTAACTAAAAGCACTTTTACAGAAGAGTTAAAACTAATGGGAGTGAAACAGACAAAAATCCTTCTCAATTCTAATTTAAGGGTTTGCTCAGAAAGCTTTTGCAGGAGTGAGAACATATCCCTTTCTATTTCAGAAATCTAACATACAGGAATCCGCTTTATCTTCAAAAAGAATAACTGTCAGATTTGATTTCACTTAGGGTCTTGAAAATGCAGAATTCCTCCACTAAACTTAGTAGCATTAAACCACATACGCCTAGACACAAGATCAACACTTAGGCAGAGAGGTTTCACATGGGTATGCACCATATCTACAGTATGGGCAGTGCATGGAGCTCAGAAAGGAATGCTGAAACTCAGAATGTTTCCAAAACTACTAGAAAAAGAAAGAGGATCTGGCATGTCTGCGAAAGCATCCTCAAAAGAAAAGAAAAAAAAAAAAAGCCACTGTTTTAAGCTGCAAAAGTGTACTGAAGGTGAGTTATATTTTATTTCATTAAAATATATTTTAAAAACATACTGTGTAAAAGAATTAGGATTCTCAATAATTTATTATTTACATTAGCAAATTCCATTTGACTGTTATTCTATAGATAGAAATTAAAAGTCTGCAGAAGGGAGTTGTATCAACTTCTTCAGGACGAAGCAAGCCCCTTTGCCAAGAAACATGTCCAAAATGCATTCCCTCCCATTTCGATCCCTTCAAATTCATGTTTGCAAACAGATCGCAAAAGGCTCAATGAAAGGTCACATTGGCAAGTGCTGAGCACGCACAGTGACAGCCGGGATTTGGGAGCGCTCTGCAAGAGAGAGACCCTGAGGAGATTTTAATGTTGCACTACTCAGTAGTCAAGAGGCTGCAGGGTCCAATCGCACTCTTGCTCCCACTGTCCTACCTCCACTGAAATCCATAGCATAGACAACAAAGTCTGCACCAAGCCCCGCAGGCTGGATCTCGGGAAGCGAGACAGATTCCTTGAGTCAGGCTGGCAGTGGAGTGTAGACACACTGTAGCTTATCATTCTTCTTCAGTCCAAACACAACATAAATCTCATTGTCTTCCTCCCTATCTCCCTGGGGAGAAATTTGCATAGGGAATTATCTTTCTGATGTAAACAACTGTAAGCACCATTCACATTTGCTGGTCCACGTGAAAAAAAATCATATCCAAGTGCCTGCCATAGCCTTGACCCTTCTTAGCAGGGCAGCTCAGCTTTCCCATCAGCTTTCCAGATCTTTGAAATCATATGGGTACCCAAATGTCATGCACAGTCCATTGCAATGCCAGCTGCTGTCTGCTTTACTGTTCCACGAAAGAGTAGTTGCCTCTTCAGTGATTATATAAAACCCCATGATTAAAAGAAGTAAAGCGGTCAGCTCATGTGTTCTGATTCCTGGAGGCACTCAATGGTATTTCTGACATCTCGTGTAAGGCACCAGTCATCTGGTAGCTGAGTAAAAAGTGACCTGCAAGACCTCCATTAAGCAACCGCAGAGGGAACTGACAAAATTCAGCTGGTTTGCTCGTCTTCTTGCTTACAATAGCATAAAAAGTGTGGTCACGCCATCTGGGGAAGTCTCTGGTGGTATCCTAAAAGAGGAAGCCTCAACTTGCACTGCAAGCCAAGGAGCACGGCTGACAGCAAAAGCTTCTGATGGCCATGTCAGAGTAGCAGAGATTTCCTTGAGCACCAGGAGGCCTCTGCTGCCTTGCTTTCATGGAAAACGAGTTTGTTGTCAACAGCGAAGCAGTTAACCTCCTTACAAGATGTCTCCACAACACAGAATGAATGGCCAGCTTTGTGGCGTACTTGCTGCAACTTCTTTGATTTTGGTCTTGCCTGTGCAACCTTCTTCACAGATACGCAACGCCGGAGACAGCAGAGCCTATGGACAAAGAGGTTGGCTGGATGCTGGCTGACTGCATCCTCAGTCCAGAATATCAGTTTCAAATGGGACCAGGTGGTAGTATGTCAAATTGGTTACATAAGCTGTTGGATCATCACTGTCTTCTAGCTCTGAGGTAAAGTCACTAACACTTTCGAACCTAAGGAGAAATAAATAAAGGCATTAAGTCATTAATGTTTGTTCAGAAAATCAAAGTCAAAGGAATTGGAAGAAAAGTACTGAGGGAGTGGGAAAAGGCTAGGCTAGCTGAAGACTGATCCCTGGAAATGTTAAGAAAAGATATTTGGGAGGGGACTACTCGAAAAATGGGCTGCAGACAAGAACACTTCTGCTGGTACTGCAAGTTAAAGTTCTGAGTAAATGTAATTTGTAGACTTGCTTCACACCAGAGCAGTGTTGCAGCAGAAGTATTTCTAATGCTCGCAGCTTCAGCTTTGGGAAGCCCACTTTGCAAGGCAAAGATCTAGAGTCCCAACCCTTCCAAAGTGTCAGTATCTCACTCCCTCTCTTGGCAGCCTGAAATTCAACCTCACACTAGAAGTTGTCAAAGAAGGTCCATGCAGATCAACTATGAATCATGAAGCTATAGTTTCTCTGACATCAGCCTACATATCATTACGCTAGAATAACCTACTGGAGACACCAGCAATGGCATCTACTGTCATTTTCATAAACCAAGATTCAACACTTCCTAGAGAGAGTTGAGAAGTAAATGGAAACCACTGGTTTCCATGTCCTTAAATAGAAAGCCTGTTTCTTTATACCTATGGAAATGAATGGGCTGAAGATTTTGCTTTCAGTAAAACAGTATGGTTACTCCCTTTGAAAACTGCTAAAACACAGCTGCACAGCACACTAGCAAAGCAAGTTCTCATCTCTTTCAATAGTGGTTGTGAGAGCCGAGCAACCAGGCCTGTGAAAAACTAAGACAAACAGCCTGGGAAAGCAAAAGTTGAGGCTGATTGAAGATTTGCCTCAAACACTCCCAAGACAAAACTCTGAGTCACAGGGTGATTTCTGTGGAGGCC